GATCACCAGATAAATTTTTGATTTATCAATATTGAGAATGTCTATCACATTTGTCATTTCTATTTCAGCTGTGGACCTACAGTTACTCAGCAAAAACAAATGCCAGTGCAGGCCGTGGAGTTCTGCAGAAAAAGCAGCGGTGTGGCGACAACTGGGGCAGTGCATCACTATGCAAAGAGTTCCTGGTAAAGAGGTCTGCCTCAAGGCACTTGAAGCAGAACCAGCACTGGGCAGTCACAACTGGAAAGATTTAAAGAATAATGTCCACAACTCCATCTTGTCTCAAAAAAGGAAATTGTTGTAGTTCATGTGCAAATAAAGCCAATTGTGACTAATTCTATCAATGGAGTGGGTGAATTAAAATAGGTAAATCAAGATTAGAGGACTTTGATAAACATTGCTTTCATTGTTACTGGTGTTAAGCAAACTTAGCAAGTGACATGTTAGATTGAAAAAACCTAAAGTTTAGATGTCTGCAAAACTACCCAGTTTTAAATGCAGAGATGCATACATATGTTAATATTGGTGTGTAGCACCAATAAATCTGTTTGCACTGAAGTCAGCTATCTGGGTCTGCTTCTTCTGCCACTCACCCTCCCATGAATGATCCTAATGCTTTTACTGTTGCAGCCCCTAAATTGTGGAATAGTCTACCTTTGATCTAACATTAAGCTACTGACCTGATTACCTTTAAATCATTGCTTTAAACATATTTATTTGCCTTGGCTTTTAATACACAGTAGGGCCTGATGCATTCCTTTTAATTTATTGAATGCATGTCATCTGTGTTATTGTGCTGTTTTATTTTTTGCACTGATCTTATTTATTCTATTTTAGTTATTTATTGTGATTTTATTCTGCCATGTAAAGTACATTGGTCAACAGGATGTTTTTAAAGTGCTACATAAATAAATTTGATTTGATTTAGTAGATAACTGTGGACAGATCTACATTTTCACTTCCTGTGAAATGTGTTAAATAATTGCTGTCTGTAGGAAAAGACTGAGAAACGCTGTTAAGTTCAGAAGATGACACTAAATGTTGTCATTGCAATACTGAGGAAAATCAATGGGAAAAGACTAATAATTGTAGCAGCACTAATGGTAAAACATTACAGTGATACCAGTTTGCAAAACATTTTTGTACTTCAAGTTAACCTGTTCCCAAGTTCTTGCTGTGCTTGTATTTGTTCTGAATATAATGCAGAGATTATACAACTTATACCATCATATGAAAGCAGTGGACATGGCAACATCAAGGACTTAAATGTGATCCTTAAACATTTAATTTACCAGCCACTTTTCCACATGCATCAATTTTTGCCACTTTTGCAGTTGCCTTGTGTGAATTAAACCTTTAAATTCCTTGTAGCCCCCAACAGAAACTCTCACTCTGCTGCAGTAAAAAAAACTGTGGTCTTTCTTTGGACCTCTTTATGAAGACAATGAGGAACCAGCTGATCATGATCTCGACTGTCAGTGATTGAATCCAATTTTTCTAATCTTTAGGTGTGGGTTGAAGAACCAAAATATCCAGACAATCTTAGTCAGTATCTGAAAATCTGGCATTAGTCATTTGATCAACATATGAAGAATTTTGTATTTTTCAACATTGCCTTTACTCACTGTTAATGTGTGTCAGTCTTTCAGTCCTGGATTATCTTATTCCTCTGAGCTACAGACCATTACTGTTCAAAAACAATTAAAAATGCATCAGGAAAATGCACCACTGCACTGGGTGACATGTTTCTTTATTATGAAACCAAAGACCCTAATATTTGTTTAAAAAAATACAGAGATCTTGTGAATGGGCAGTTGACTTCTGAAGTGTTTATCAGAATCAGCTTTATTGGCCAGGTATGTTGGACATGTGAGGAACCTGACTCCAGTACAGTAGGTTTCAAGGTATATGTACAATGCTCTTCCATAAGGCAACGAGTAGACAAACCATATAAGGCTGAGAACAAAAAAGAATATGGAAACAAGAAAAGGGAATGTACATTATTTAAATTTTTATTTTCCTAAAGTAAAATATGCTTACACACAGTTTAAATGCAGTTTTTCAGATAAAATAGAGAGATAGAGAGAGAGAGGTGTATTTACTGGTGTTGCTTTGAGGGCTGTCATTCTATTATACAATCATGGGTTAAGTGTTCATCAGAGTAATCACCTGGGAGAAGAAACTGTCCTTGTGTCTGGGACAAGTTCAAATGGGTTGTGTGCAGGGCATGAGGGGTCTGCAGAAATATTCTCTGCCCTCCTTGCGAGGTGTACTGGTCCTCTATGGAGGGCAGGCTGGCACCGATGATTCTTTCTGCAGTTCTGTCTGTTGGAGTCTGTTCCTGTCCTGTTTGGTTGCTGAACAAAACCAAACAGTGATGGACATGCAGAGAACAGTTTATAAAACTATTATAAACTTTATTTCATCAGAAAAAGTAATAGTTATAATGTCAAGTTACCACATACAGTGTCAACAGACATCTACCATACCTTTCATTGCAGGGAAAGTTGTTTATGTTTCACACTTTCCTGACGGTTTGTCATCTATGCATGGTTACAGTTTTTATGACCTATTGTTCAAAGGCACCTGCATCATGCATCCGAAGTCACTCATAATAATGAATTCATTCTGACTTCCCCTGTACTATGTCTGTCAAGAGTGTTGCATCTCCCCCTACTGTTTTTACTGTAAAACCACCTTTGTAGAATCCAATCAAAATAGACTATCTTGTACTTTTCCAAAGATTTTATGTACTGTATGTCTGACATTTCACTTTGCTTTTAGAATATTATGGTTTTTATCTGGAAGAGTAACTCAGCTTCTCTACCTTGCTGGCTGGAATGAAAATACACAAAATTGAGAGTTTTTACTTGAAGTTTTAGGTGCATGTAAACACATGTCTGGAAAAACAAGTAGAGTTATGCTAGCCTATCTTATGTTTTATGTTTGCTTTGTGCTTTGTGAGTTTCCTAATCCCTAGGCATTTGATAGATTACATTTTTTAGTTCAGTTCTAACCAGTACATTTCTTTTACATGGCTTATAAAGAAGTATTCTTTTTTGAAAAACTCACTGGCTAAGAACCAGAAAAAAAGTATGAATAAATTATTAAATAAGCACGGCTCATGTATGAAAGAATAGACTGTCTTTTCCCTGTAGATTATAGGCCAGGCTCTAATTCTGTTGGTATGAGCTCATTTATATTAATGACAATGGATAATTTCACTTCCTCAGCACATGACAAAAAGGAATTGAAAGCAGTGTGACTCTATGAGGTCAGGTGTCTTAATTGTGTCGTTCCTCTTAAGTTAAAAGGCCAGTGTGTAACTAAAGGTGTAGTTTAAATGTAGTAAACTGTAATAAAGCTAGAGCTGTAGGCCTATGTGTAGATGTATAATTCTAATAACTCTGTACATTATAGCCCTTTATATATTAAAAAAAAACACTGAAATGGTTTTAGCTACATTTATTTAACACCTCAACTATCTTTACACATTAAACCATTGTAGCCCTTGGTTGACAGTACCTACATGAATGTTTGTGTTCATACACAAGTGATGACTTAGTGAACAGCATGACTGCAAAAAGAAAAACTGATGTACTCAAAAATATGTGACAAAACCACATAAAAAACTGTATTTTGCACTTATAGTTCTGAATGTTTGATAGCTGATATTTTACACAGTTGTTTGTATAGTACATTTGTTGCTCCCATGTTGTATTGTGTTGTGATGTAAGGACACGCCATACAGCCATTGTCATCCCTTCAGCACTGGCAACTACAGTGGAGTGGAATAATGTGTAATTTCGTGGGTGAAGAATTTTACCCATGTTCAATAGTAATCCTGCTTTGGACCAGCATCGTTTTGACAATTTCTTTCTTTTAGCTTCTAGTTTTACATGTTTTAAATTTGTTTTATCATGACTGTAACTTCACTGTCGAAACTGATATTTCCTAAAGGTTCAAATGCAGCACAACGCCACACCGTACAAAAGTCACGTGACTGCTGCCAGCATGTGACAGACTGGATCAGTGCATCATCATGGCCGAAGCACCACAGTGAGTCGAGTTATCTGCTTTATAAAATTACTTTGATAGGAAAAACATTCATATGTATATTTATTTTAGGTCAAACAATTCATAGACGCGTTTCAGCCTTTACTGTCAGATCACCGCAAGATATAAATGTCGTTTTGCGAACCGAGGGCGTTTAATAATAAAGCAGGGGTCAGGCAACTATACCAACTTACTACTCTGTCAACCTGCACAGCTAATAATATCTTCAAGTTGTGATTCATAAGCCTGCAGTTAACCTTAACTTTCCCAGTGCTAAAACGGGAGGTAGCACACTTACGGCTGCGTTTAGTAGAAGAAATTCAACTGCTCGGAATTTTAGCTTCCTTTCGCTTTCTTCACTTCCTGCAGTATAATATTTATGTAGTGTGAGACTGGAATTACTGAGAATACTGACAAAACCAGTGGTTCCCAACCAACCTTTTTGCAAGGCAGTCTACTTGTGCTCCCTCATCATTGTGGACATTTCAGCGAAAGGCTGATTATATTTTCCCTCAGACAGTTTTTTGGACGTTTGTAAAGGTCCGGAGAGGTGAAACTATACAGTAATTCGTAAGACACATCATACTGGACAACAGATATCATTATTCTTTTTTAGACCTAATCGTTTTTGTGAGCCTTCAAAATTATTATGGAGTCCAATGGGGGCCCCTCAGCTTGTGAACCACTGACCTGGTGAATTACCTTACTGAAAATTATTATTATTATTATTATTATTATTTATTATAGCAGCCAAGGGGGGGTACCGATGGAATAATATTTTCTTGCTGTCATCATCACATTCAGTAGTTATTTCACAGCCATGAAATAATTATCTTGTGATCAATTAGAACCAATCATTTGGAACAAGCTGCATTGTCCTGTGGTCACAGTGCAACCCAGACTAACATCTTGTGATCATTAGCCTAGATAAAACCAGACGTGACTGCTGTGATCATCATAAAAATGTCAGCAGTGAGCAGACATTTCTGCCAGTGATTGCATTTTCACAGATTGCAGAGACTGGAGTAAACAACAGGCATACTTTATGATATTATGCAACCCAGTGCAGCAGAGACTAATTCCTTACGAATTAAATTAGATTAATCAGTACTTCACTGACAGTTTTAAGAAACACAGATATTATGCACCATTTTTTTTCTTCAGCTTTTGCAAGGTGGGGTTTTGGGATTGCAGTTGAATTTGTGTTTGTCTAATCCCGTGGTTCTCAAAGTGTGGGGTGCGCCCCACTAGTGGGGAATAAAGACATGACAGATGGGGCGCAATGAACGGAGAAAATTAGAAATGGGTTATTAATACAAGTAAATTCAAATAACATCATTTCGGGGCCCGGGAGAAAAAAGTGGAACCATAGTGCAACAATAACGGTTTAACGTCGGCATGTTAACTGCCGCGCAACAATATAATGAAACGTTCACACAGAGGGCCCATAGTGTACGTAGTAGGTATAATAATGTAAATGGATAAATGTGTTACATGGACCACAAAAAAAGCAGGCGATTCAACGCAAGCAGACAAACGACAGGCAGTAGCCTTATCAACCAAAAAGCCAGACGAACAGAAAATATGATGAAGCCCATTGTGTGCTTGGATTCACGGTGGGAGTGGTGGGGGCAGAGGAGGGACCCATGTGTGTCCTGTGTATTAAACCACTGGCAGCAGACAGCATGAGACCCAACAAATTAAGAAGACATTTAGAGACAACACATCCCAGTCAATTGCTGAGCAGCTCATTCTCCCTGTAACTGTAGACATGGTGTCGATTATGCTGGATCAGACAAGTGCTGCAAAACTGAGAACTATCCCCCTGTCAAACAATACAGTTGCACTTATATTTTATCTGTTTTCAACTTAGTGTTATTTGATATTTCAATCAATTTGAAATTTTAAAATTGGCCAATTTCGTTAAAATTTTTTGACAAGTGGGGCTTGAAAATTCACCCACCCTCTTCAGTGGGGAATGATAAAAAATGTTTGAGAACCACTGGTCTAACCCCTTCAAGAACAACATCATTTACCACATTACTGAGCCTGATCTGTCCTCACAGATACACAGTTATATCTGTGAACTCTGCCAGCTATGACTGATAGAGCAATCCTTGAACCATAAAATACTGTGAGGTTATGGATTAACCTTTGGTACTATCCAGACTGTATCAGATATGTTGTTTGTTATCAGTAAGGCCATGGCCAGATAGCATGCTTTATAGCCTGTAATACCTCCCAGTGACAAGGCTGTCAATCTGTCTATATCTGTGTCTTAATTCTTTCCGGGGGCAGACTGAGTTGTGGTTCACCCACCTCTCCAGCCCTAATCTACTGACAAAATCCTTGGAATTAACCTCCAGACAGAACTAGAAACATAAGACCTCCTCTTCCTGCTCAGTAGAAACATGTTTCTTCTAAATTTGAGCTTACAATTTGCTATCAAAACTAATTTTCAATTTTCACAGCAGTCTTCATAATATTTGAAGTGTTGTTTATGTTTCAATAGGAAAAACAACCGATAGCATCATCATAATGTGTGAAATGTGGGTTGAATTCCCACATTGCTTGTAATATCATTGCTTCTCTTTGTAACAGTGAGTGAATCAATGACTTAAATATTTCACAGGTGAGTGACTACATGTAAGTGTGTATATTTTTACCTACAGTAATATGAGGAATGTCTCTCCAGTACAATGACTTGAATGTTCTTATTCTGTAAAGCTGTCAAAGTGCATGTGAACACAGTGAATGTGTTTCTGGGACCATGTAGACAAGGGAAGAGGGGAAAATGGAACTAACCGTTGATACACAATATTTGTTCAGTCTGTGTGTGGTGAATATGCTTGTGAAACTGGGCAGGGAAGTGGGAAACTAACCATTTTAAAGGCTCAGAAAATGGGGAAAATAAGGATTACAAGTGATGACGGTGTATTATGCATATGATTTATCTAGAAATTAAATCCAAATGTTCCCATGCTCGGGATAAATGAAGCTTCAAACATTCTCAGTGATGTCACATTCTCTGATTGATACAAGCCTAGACACGAAGGCTCGGTTCAAGGCCCTAATCTTCTCTTTAGCACTAAATGAATGCTCTGGACTAGAGTATCAGAGAATTTTTGAATGATGGTAGGGACAGTAGACAATGATGTTGTAGGCTGCTGCACCTTAGGACAGCAGTCTCAGTCTAAGACCAGAGCCCATTTGAGAGTCCAACTGCTACTCCACACTGAGCCACCCTATCTGCAATCTCCTTGTCTCTTTAGGCCTGTCTACTGGCTTGGTAATGACACCCTGAGGGTCTCTGCTGCCCTATTTGCTGAGAACCGTAGACGACTGTGCAAAGAACTGAAAGCCAAGGATGGATTAGTGCCGCAGTCGGTGGTGGTGCTGCAGGGAGGAGAGCAGAGGCAGAGGTACTGCACGGACACAGACCTCCTTTTCAGGCAGGTAGGTGGTCTTTAGTTGACTGAAATTTTTGCTGAACTGAGGCTGAGGTGGCTGCAAGGTCTTCTGTTGCTTGTTACTTAGTCCCTAAAGAAGAGCACTCAGAAGGCATGCCTTCAAAGTTCCACACTCCTTCTCTTCTCACTCTGTCAGAAATGAGTAGACCAGCCACCTTGCAAAGAAGTGACTTGTTTTTCATGTCAGTTTTTTTCAGTACTCTCGACTAAGCTTGTGACTAGAACTGATTTGAAAACATTGGGTGCATTGAAGGTTTTTTTGTTTAAGAGCTCTGAATTCACATCTTCTGCCCCAGCTAGCCGAATCATGGACAACATCTCAGTTCTTATGTAATAATCTGACCAGATTTAGCTAACTTCCTCCTTTCTTCTACTTGACTCTTATATTCTCCCTCACTAATATCCTGGCTTATTCTTTCAATTCTGTAGGAGTCTTTCTTCCACTGGACGTTTGGAGTAACTGAACCTGACTGTTATGGAGCCATTGATGTGGACTCAGGGAAATCCATCCTTTTTGTTCCCAAACTGCCTGAAAGCTACGCTACTTGGATGGGAGAGTGAGTCATGCTTAAAAAGAGCTGTGTACATGGCCAACAATCTTGACCAGCTGGAGCATAGTTGTGAGATTGTAACTTTAAAAAAGGCCTGACAAAGCCTTGTACCACAAAGTATTTCAATCTTGTTTATATAAAACAACTTTACTGACATGTTTGACCTCACTGATACAAAAGCTTGCTCTAGTATTTCTAGCACACAGACTACAGTAAATTACAAGATGTATTTTTTTAAAGATCTATCTATTGATCTTTTTTTTTTTATAATTAATCCTCTTTTTAAAAAAAATTAATTTAAACTGATATGAAATTAGAAATGAGCAAACATAATTTCCTCATGTGGCTGCTTTCTTTAAAAACAACAAGCTAGCTACATTAGGCTAATTTGTGGGGACAGGTTGTGGAATAAAACAAAGCTTGCATACAGTGTTAGTAAAACCACCGGACATAATGATCTGGAAATAACCTGCATGCTCTTGGTCATGTCACATGGTTTCCTTTTCCGGATCTATAAACCTCATGCTTTGTCATTTGACTTGTACAAAAATCCTTTTCACTCATAAGTCACTTGATCAGCACATTAATGTACAAGGTCCTTCACTGGATTTGCTTTTTCTTTCTGGCCTTTGCCTGAAGTGTTTCAGTTCCGTTAGTGTTTTCCCAAATTGGGACATAACCTGCTTGTTATGATTTTACAGATTCACTGTTTTTGAGTTTTGTATGTTTTGCATCTGTTGACAGGATTTTTCCTAAGGAGCACTTCAAGGAGAAGTATGCCATTGATGAGGTGCATTATGCCTGTGATGTAAGTCCGTCTGTGTTCGCCTTTACAGCCTCTGTGTTTGTGTGTGTGTGTTTGTGTGTTTGTGTGTGTGTGTGTGTGTGTGTGAGAGAGAGAGAGAGAGAGAGAGAGAGAGACCTTTTTTTCTGTGCAGTAACTGAACCTTGTGGTTAAGTTGCTCAGCTATGAAGTTAAAGAAAAGGCTCCACAGACTGTTTGTTTTTAAAGGTGAAAGTCATCATTCTTTTATTTGAGCCTCCAGGCAGGAAATAATGTTGGTGGCATCAGATAGTAGGGCTGTTATTAGGTTTGCACTAGGACCTTCTACAGCACAATGTGAAATTGCATACACTTTCAGTACATACTGTAGCAAGGCTTTGCATCATTTACATCTGCTCAGCTAAATGTGTTACTCAGAGTAAAATAGAAATGAGCATGCACAGAAAATTTGAGGCCTCTTGTGTTTGCATGTAATTTAATGTTTGGGACACATGTATACATTTGTGCAAGAGAGTCCATGACATCAGTGATTGACCAAATGTGGAGAGTAGTTGGGCTCATACAAAAGCACATGGAGCATCAAAGCAATAATTCATTTTAGATGACAGTCAACCAGTGCACACACCTCTAAAAGAGTTCAACCATGAATATTTTCAGGGGACCTTGAGATTGAATTTTATTTTAAGTTTGTGACCTGCACCCCCACTCTGCCTGTTTTGAGAGTTTGGGAAAACAGTCATGTATATTGGTGTTGACAAATGATTCCCAGGGGAGCTATAGTGGTAGGCTGAGAGCTCCAGAGTGCTTCTGGACGTGTGCATGTTGACAAACGAAAATACTATTCACACTATAATGCAACAGCTTTCACTGACCAACTGATGTCTATAATAATAATAATAATAATAATAATAACAATCTCACATAATTTAACTTTTTTTTTAATACTGTAACCTTTTGATGACTCATCCTGCTCTTATTATTTAGGTATTTTTATATCTTCCCACCTGCCTGAGGTGTTGGGTTTAATTAGTCACAGATTAAGACACAGATTATTACTTATTACTAATTATCAGTCAGTTCTTCCATTAAGCAATATCAGTGCTACCCTGCAGTGTAACATTAGAAAACATGAATTCATGCAATAACTTTTTTAACTAATATTTTGTCACATAGATAAATACAGCAGTTGCTGGTGTTCAGCATTGAGTTGCATAAAAGAGAACAATATTTCTTGTTTTAGCTTTTTTTTTTGTTTGTTTGTTTTTTTTGTTTGTTTGTTTTTTTGCTCTTTCTGCAATGCCTAAACGTCATGCACTGCTAGCATAGAACAGACAGGCATTGCTGGGTATTGCCAACTCACACAGCCATGGGGAATTGGTTTGGAAACTGGTTTCATACCACCGGAGCTACAAATCATTGTCCGCTCATGCAGCAACAACAACGACGACCACCACCATCACCCCCAGGAAGGCCCTGAGGCACCGAGCACGAGTGAGCAGGCTGAACCCAGGACAGCAATCCGGAGACAGAGACACAGACGGGGCAAGAGGGGAGGGCTCCATGCTAGGCTAAAAGCTTGCGCTACCCGACCGCCACTACCCAGCCTTCTTAGCTAACGTACAGTCTCTGGAAAACAAACTAGACAAGCTCAGGGCTAGGATGACAACTGGAAATCAGAGAATGCTGTGCTCTAGTTCTCACTGAGACTTGGCTTTCTGACAGAGTCCCAGATTCCGCGATTCAGCTAGAGACTCACCCTGTACATCGGTTAGACTGCACTGCTGCTTCGGGGAAGGTAAAAGGAGGGTGTGTGTGTGTGTGTGTGTGTGTGTGTGTGTGTGTGTGTGTGTGTGTGTGT